TTATAATATACACTTCCATATTTAGTCATAAGGTAAAAAAATTAATGCAGTATAAACCGCAAATTTTTTGGACCTCTTTTTCTGAACTCCAAATCTTCTCCAAAAATACAGCTTTAATTATTCTGATTACTGAGAATTCCAGTAAATATGACAATAAATTAGAAGTCAATAAGCCAAAATAGAAAAACTTGGAATATCACAATAATTTAGAACAGAACAGAAAAAACAGAATATCACATATTATTAAATGAATTTAAAGTGAATTAGCCCATATGTGTTAAAAATATACAGTATAATCTGTATCATTTTTCCTAATATGAAAAATCCAAAAACATTTCAGACACAAGTTCTGCACTGAGGGCACAATACTAATTTGGTTCTGAAGCCCATGAAAAATTGGAATATAAATTCAAACCATCTTCTTTTATTGAACTGAAATGTAATAAACATCATGTGTAGGATTTTCCATGTATTAGAGATGTTTTCAAAAATGCAACATTGTTTAAGTAACTTCAAAATAGTCAGGAATGATAGTCGTGTAAATGAGTTATTTCAGTGAGGAAGAGGAAAGCAGTTACAGAGCTGGTGAACATGTAACTAGTCGTCCTACGGTGTTAACATCAGTATCGTCATAATAAAGCACTTTCACATTCTATCCCCAAATTTCAGTGTTCTGGACTCTATGTATAGTAAAGCACTAAGTTAAATACACAAAGTTCTCTTTTCAATGATAAAAAAAGAAACATGATATAAGTCACACTCTCTGGAGAAAATGGGAGCTGAAATGAGACCTAAAAAGGACTTAGATTTTTTTTTAAATAAAGACAAAATTCCATGAAAATAAACTGAAGCAAGAGGACAAGAATAAATACGGCACGTCAGTGCAACAGTGAAAAGCCAGTAGGAATTCAGCAGCCACCAAAGTCAAGCTAGAAAGAGACGTGGCTAGACGGTAGATCCAGTTCTATGGACTTAGAAAGTATTTTTAATGTAGCAAAAATGATAGATAATAAATAGCATCCTATTGATCATTTTAATTCCATCAACAATTAGCCGCTGGCACTTAAAATATAGAAGCAAAATGGTAGACATTATAAAAATAAAAAAGACATAGTATACTGATCTCAATGACATTTAGGAATTAGGGCACGAGATAATGAAAACAGCAATTATAATCACAGAGGAATACAAGTGGTAAAAGATACATGATAATACTGAGTGGGGGGAGCAGCATGGAATGGTGGTAACATAAACAAAGACAAAAAATAAAACATTTGAGCAAATGTAGTTATCCAGCAAACACTGCATGCTTTCTGTGTCCCAGCCTCTATCTTTGAGAATTTAACCAGGAAAATAGTGTACATGTTCTCAGGAATGTTTGAAATACTCCATTTACCCAAAGCGTGCGTGCGTGCGTGCGTGTGTGTGTGTGTGTGTGTGTGTGTGAAGGTCATGGAATATAACTAGGAAGATAAATGGAGCCAATATTAATAACAGTCTTAAACATCAGACTAATTTATGCTGTATTCTACTAGATCTAAGGTTCGTTGAAGTTTGTTATAGGTTTTAGTAGGGGAGGAAAATCAAAAGAATTGTATTTTGGGCAGGTTACACAGGGCAACACGTATAGAATAGGTTATGAAGGAAGACATTTTTAAACTAGGTGGTTATTATCACACTAATAAAGTACAGAGTGACAACAGCGTGGGACAGTTGGTGCCATCAGAGTGATTACATGCATCACAAACACACGAACACAAGCATTTGCTGAAAACGCTTGTGAATCATCTTCCTCTTCCCAATATCGTTAGGAGACAGATGTTGTTATTATTCCCCACCGACAGATTAGTAACCTGGACACAAGATTTCTTTTTTTTTAAATTGCCCGTGTTTCAAAATTACTGAATGACAAAGCTAGATTCAAATGTAGACAGTCTCTAGAGACTGTGTTTTCAAATCACTGGCTATAGAGGAAAAAAACAGAAATGAATTTTGAACTTGCATGTCCAAGTAATATATAGTTCAATTACAGATATAAAGAAGTTTAAATATTTTTTACCACTTAAAAACAACTATCTTAAAAAAAATTGTTCCTTTCCTAAACCATATTTGCTGACATGTTTGGTGGTTTTCAAAGTTAGCAGTGAAATTTTAAGAGCAGACTATATCTCAGAGAATGCCTCCTCCAAACTTAGCACTTTACAGAAGAGAGAATTAAGGGAATTCTCAAAGTGAAACAGCTAACTATAAACTAAACTCATTAAAATCCATACCTCTTGTTTTCTGGTTTACTGTAGAAGTATTCTGATTTAAACATACGGGAAAGGATGGCACACATGTATTATGTTTTTCATAGTGAACACAGATCATATTACACAGTCTTAAAGGAAGAGCTAAATTTTTACTTATAAATTTCAGAAATGTATGTGATTGATTATGTGCCAACTCACTCAAAGTTAGACTAGTGCTGACATGGAGAAATATTACTCCCGACCTATAAGGTGACGGATATGCAAAGTTCAAGTCTCACAATATTGAGGAATGCAGTCAAAAGCTCTTGGATGTGCAGGGGCCCTGCGTGGGTGGCCACCAAAGCTATTCTTCAGCTTTTTACCAAGGCAAATTCGCAACATCGGTATAATGCAGGTCAAACTACAATCAACCTATAAGGTTACAAGGATAGTCACTTAGTATCTATCAAGTAGGAAAAAGAACCCCGTAGTAAGGATGCATGGGAAGAGTAAGAGCATTCTTAGAGGGGAGGAGCATGGGTCTGGATGTTCTGGTCACCACCTATGTGTGCTATGCCTATGGGACCACTGGGCCAGGTGGTGCTGCTCACAGTACAATGTTAAGTTGCTGCTTAACTAGCAGGCCTGATTATTGATAGATAGGAGTGAGGTAAATAAAGATAAAAAAGTTACTGAGTCTTTAGCCTGAGACCTAGATTTCTTCAGATTTGCCTCCAGTTATAATTCTGATGCATTTATTATTTTTTACTGCCTTTCTGGAGAGCCCAATCATGGACTTCTACCATATATATGTATAGTAAACACTATCATAGTATTTACCATGTGACTAGCAACTAAGCCTATCATTAACAATTTCGACGGGTAAATTTATCTGTGATAGTGGATTTTCAAATCATGATGTTAAACAGCTTCACCTCCATATTATAAGGAACTAGTGAGTAAATAAATCTGTATACTACTTGTCACCTTGCAAAAGTAAATATACAGGCATTTGATTTTGAAGGGCAAATGAGGTGACCTGAAGTCTAAACATATTGCTGTCTTGAGTGTAATACTGTTTCTTTCCAGAATTTCAATCCTTTTTTAATCATTGCTAAGTATTTCCCTTTTGCAGCTTCCAGAGTCCAGTATAATAGTAAAAATATAGGCCAACTTTCTGTCTGTTTAAATCTATTCCACACTGAGAAACAAAGAAAACAAAGTATAACCTTTTCAAGTTTTTCAAATGAAGTATCTTCACAATATTAATTATATGAGGAAATGTCTTACACTGATGTAGTTCTAAAATAACCTGGAAGATTCTAGGGCTTCCAAGCTAATGAAATGTGCCAAAAAGAGCACCATGCAAGCCGAAAGAACACATCACACATCGGGAGGCTCATAGGACAAGGGGATAGGGTTTTCTTTCTGGAACAGAAGTTTAAGGGAAAGCTGAGAATATTTTTTCAGCTATTTCCCTATAAGCTTCTTTGGCCATAGTTAAAATGAAAACCAAAAGATTTGAAAAATATGAAGAAAAATCAATCAGTGAAGTCGTAAAGAAAATCTTGATTCACTTAGACTCATTTTTCTAATGAGGGAGCAATTCACTGAAGATGAATGCATGAATAACACATAGTTCATATCTCTGGAAGGGGGACAAAGGAAAAAGATAAACGCATGAGGAGGTGGGAGAAGATAAATAAAAACAGAAAGGAAAGCAAAGAATTTAAAGGGTGAAAGAGTGGGGGGGAAATGAAGAATTTAAGCTGACAGGAAGGAACATGTGAAGTGCAGCTGTGATGTTGATTTGTTGTTCATTTACAATGTAAATTACTTCTGATTTGCAGGTCCAAATCTGGAAAGTTTCCTTTGGAAATATATGCATATCCACTCTAAAAAAGTCCCTTCCACAAAAGAAAGAAAATTGGGAAAGATAATGCAGTTTTCTTGTAAGGAATAAAAGAAAAATAGTTCCTAAACCTAAAAACATTTCAGTGTAAGTTGTCTGCAAGACACAGCCTCACAACCTCCGAATTTCCTAGCCTGATGGAGGCACAAAGCAAGCCTGAGACTTGGTTGCCTGGCAACCGCGCTCTTCACAGGCAGCTGGAGTAAAAGGAACCGACTGGTGCCAAATGGCCTTTCACCTGCTACGTTAAAGAGAAATCAGAGTGAAAGAGTGCCTGCAAGGGCCAAAGCTCCCCTCCAGAAGCTGGGGCTCCAGAGACCCCTGCCTTACTTTGTTTGGGAAGGAACTTGAAAGGGAGAGGGAGTTCTTAATGTGTTAGTAATTAGATGCTTTTCTCTGCCTCTCCTCCTCCTCTGGTACCACCTGAATATAACAGGCTGCAAGCTTGGTTTTCTGACATTGTATGGAAGGGAAAGGAAATCACTTCAAACTATTTGCTCTGGAATGAAAATTACGAAAACCAGGAAAAAGTCTTACACTCCCCATTTGTTATTAGATTCTCATGATACAAGGACAAGTAAAATATATCTGAAAAGACAATTAGGAATGATGACTGTAAATATATTCTATTTTTTCAAGAATGCCTAGTGATCAAATTTACCTTGCAAACCTTACCTGGTTGGCTATTTTAGTGAAAATGTGAAAAGTGCCTAGAGGCGATTTAGAATAAGGAATACTGAGAGCTTCTCAAAATAATTCATCGAGTTCATTCCTAAAATGGAAAGTGTTTCAGTATCTTTGTTTGTGGAAGCTGTAGTCTTTGCTAGAAAAGGGAGTCCTACTGAATGATTCCTTACCTGCCCACCTCTCTCAAGATCAAACCGTGAAACGGAAGTGTATTAGGCAGGAGCTCCACAGCCCTCTGAAACAAAGCATTGAAGCCAGCCTTTAGAATAGTGGATTCTGGTGTTCACCTTAGCACCTGGGCAACACTGGAATTCTGACCTCTATCATGGGTGGTTAGAAAGAATGTACTTAGTTTCCATGTGAATTTTTGTTTGAAATAAAATTCTGAATGTAAGATATAAAATATAGATAGATAAGACAGATTATAGAGTGTACAAGCTTTTTAGGTTATTCAAAGTGTATAAATTCATTTCAGTTTGATTTATAAATATAATCTTTATAGCTTTCATGGCACTTTGTTCACTCTTTTTCCTTTATTTTATTTTACAAAATTATATTCAAATAAATCGTGGAATATACACACATACACACAACTTTACTCACCTCCCTACTCAGCCTCCAAACCCGAAGAGGAAATGTTTTTATTCTCCACATGATTTCTCCAAGACAATCTTGTTATCATAACTGTAGAATCATTATGAAGACTGACCAGTGAAGGTGAAGAAGTGCAGAGTAACTGAAAAAGAAAAAGAATGCATCGTGACTTGTAAACATTCCTCATACTCTTCCAGAGGTCAAGTCAATACTAAAGACTTAAAGACTTTACTGAAAACTTGATAGGAGTGTAAGTATGCTACAAACTGAAAATATATCTAACTCAATGTTTATGCTTTTCATCTTGTCAGAAATAACTATCACATCAGACAGGACATTCACCAGTATAATTTCTCACCTAACCTCATTTTAAAAGTGAAAATTCTCAAAAAATATATGATGTCACAAAATATGGTATATTTGGTCACATCAGTGATACTTAGGTAATTAAAAGTTTAAGATTATTTTCCTTCTCTGTGGCAGTATCTTTGTAACAATCCATTATTGAATAGCTTTTGTGGGTAAGTCTTCAAATACAAAGTTAAATGGCAAATGAGTTATTTTCTTTTATTTTAAAAAGCTTGCACCATAAATTTTTTGGGCAGGAGTAATACAGGGTAGAGGTGAGACCATGAGACACAACAGCATCGCTGGGGAGCTTTCTGAAGGCACTGGCGTCCAGCTCGTCAACCCTCCATCAAGATTCTTGGTTTTGAAGGAAAAGATATAAATTCTTGCTAGTTTAAACAGAAATGGGTTTGACTAGAAGACTTAGAAGTCTGGAATTGTCACAAAAACTGGAGCTCAACTTCCCCAAATTGGAAGGCACCCCGCAAAGACAAACAGGACAGTCCTGAGCAAGGCCATTCTGCAGAACATCCTGTTGGAGCAGCTGTCAGCCCACTTCCCTGGCCTCGGTGAGACACCACTGCCACCGGCTGCCATCGTGGTCACTGTTCTCTACTGCAGCCAGGACTGCACTTGAAACTCTCTTTATCTTTATAACTCAAGTCAGGAGCCCTGGCAGATGCATTCAGTGTGCAGTCCACTATTGTTGACAGGAACTGGCAGGAATCAGAAGGAGCTTGTCCTCCTTTGGATTTTGTATTGGAAGGTGGGGACTAGATTTTGCCATGATTCTAAGACTAGGTATGAGGGTACTGAAAGATGGACAGCCAAGCAAACAAACCTCTTTACTACACCTACCAAGGACTTTACATGTAATTCTTCACCAATGGAGACTGGGGAAAGGGTAAATGATTTCATGGCTAACAGATTTCACTTCTCATAAGTAAATTTACAATATATCAATGTTACTCTCTGTACTACTGCATTACAAAATAAGGCAAAAAAATGATTACAGAGCATTTCATAATTGTAAATAGGTCTACTAAAAACAAGAAATATGCAAAAGCAGAAACTTAAGTTTTTATCTTAGCAATCTAGTAAAAGTTAAAACTAGTGTGACAAGAAAAGAAAATGTGAGATGAAAAATTTATAAGACTGAAAAATTGTAGATAACTTGAAAAGCCAAAATTAGTTCTTTGAAGGTATATGTTAATGCAATTCACCATATTAACAGACAATAAAATCAGCCAAAATTATCTCAGTGAACTTCAGAATGTATTTTTATAAAATTTAACAGCTATTCGTAATTTTGAAATGTATCCATTAAGTTATTAATAATAACCAATAGGACTGATACTTTATTAAAAATATATAGTAAGTATATTTTAAAGAACTTAATGAAATTAGTATTCAGGAAAATTCAAGTTAAAGTCACAATGAGGCAACACTACACATTCACAAAATTAAAGAGATTGACCTTGACCGTTCCAAATGTTGGAGAGAGTGTGAAGGAACTGGAACTCTTGCATCACTACAATGCAGCCATTCTGAAGAACAATTTGGCAGTTTCACATAAGGTCTGCCCATGCTTATTACATACTAGCAATTCCACTCCTAAATATTTACCCAAAACAAATGAAAACATATGTCCACACAACACTTGTACACAAATGTTCACAGCAATTTTATGCATAGTGTCATGCTTTATGTTGGTGGTCCTCAGGCCTCATGCATTTGCATTATGCATTTGTGATTGGTTCATTGTCTAGTGCTTGGATTGGGGGTGTGAATGCTACACTGGCCTAGGGGTGGGGCCAGGATGTCATGGTTTACATCTGTGGCCCCCAGGCCTCATAAGTTTGAATTGTGCATTTGTGATGCTTCATTGTCTAGTGCTTGGATTGATGGTGTCAGTACTCCACTCACATAGGGGTGGAGCCAGGATGTGATATAATGGCAGGAAGAAGGTGTGTCTAGCTCTTTTGCTGGTTCCTGTTTGCTGTTTGCAGCCGCCATGAACTGCGGCCCAGCCATGCCCGCCTGTCTTGGAGCCAACTGAGTATGGACTGAAACCTCCAAAAACTGTAAGAAATAAACCTTTCCTTTCCCAACTTGGGCTTCAGGTATTTTGTCTCAGCAACGAGTAAAAAGTAACTAAGACACAGGATATGATGTAATGGTAGGAAGAAGGTGTGTCTTGCTCTCTTGCTAGTTTCAAAAAACTCTAAGAAATGAACCTTTCCTTTCCCCACTTTGGTCATCAAGTATTTTGTCACAGCGACAAATAAAAAGTAATTAAGACACATAGCAGCCTAATACAGGAAAAATCTACATGTATATGACTAGGAGAAGGAATAAACAAACTATTACTTCATTAAATAAAATACTAATAAGCAATAAGAAGACATGAATTACTGATATGTGTGAATCTCAAAAACATACAAAGCAAAAGATGTAGGAAGAAAGAACATGTACATGGTTTGTGTGTGTGTTGTGTATGTGTTCAGGATTCCAACTGCATGATGTTCTTGAATAAGCAAAATGCATGAAAGGTGAAAATCAGATTTATTTGCCTTAGGACTTAGGAGCATATGTTGACTGAGAAGGGGCATTTTTGCTAAAAGACACTAAAAAGATATTTAATATTAACTTACTAAAAATGAGTTATAAGCATCTATACATTTTTCAAACTTCATTAAATCATATTTTTAAGATTTTTATATTCTAGATTTTACTTTAAAAATGTTTTACAAATAGTAAGTTCTAATGCATTTGCTTTTGTAACTTAGCAGTTCTGAAATCCCCTTTTGTATATTTTAATATGAATAAATGAATGCATGTAATAAGAATAAGTGAGACAAGACCTTTCATCTATACACACATACCTATAAATTTTCAGTTTGATGAGTCAGCATCATTGGGACATTGAATATCCAAATTTTTATTTCTAAATTACAGTTTCACTGTCTTAGTGCTGTATAAATGAAATTAGTCATTTCAGGACTCCTAGAAGAAGTAACTGATATGGTAACGGTCTTAATAATTTTCTCAATATTAGGACAATATATCCAAATCCATGGCTTAATGGGAGAGTTTATTTTAACTCACAGTTTGTAGAGATTTCAATCACCATAGTCAGCAGTGCTGCAGCAGGGCAGAAAAGAATGGAAGAGACACAGTCCATGGCTGGCAGGCAGGCGGCAGCCGCCTTCCTTTCGCTCTCCCTTTGATTTCATCCAGGCTACAGGCCTCTTGGTTGGGGCCACCCACACCCAGAGTGGGTCTTTCCTCTAATAAATCTATCACCCACATCCAGAGCCATGCTAAACCAACCAGATCCATATTGCATACCTATGATGCAGTCTCTCCCCAGGCCTCGACTTAAGAGTGCTTTGAGAGGAGGATATCTAGATGTAAGCAGTAACACTGGGGAAGTACAAGCCTGAAATCTCATATTGTGATGGCAATTACGGAGGTGAGGAGTAAGGTGACATCTTACATAAATACATGAGCCAGTGTTCAAGGATTTCCAAAGTCTGGCACAATTTTACCGCCAAAGTGAGTATTTGTCATAGATTATGATTGGATGAATAAAATAAGAATTGGTTTCTTCATGTTCACATAAATAAGTAGATGATAGATACATAGATAGATGGATCAATGGAGGATCTATCTATAAGGTAAGGATAATGAACTATATATTTCAAAAAGGTTATAAAAAGTCTTTTCTGTGTTTTCATCATAAACAAATGGTAAATATTTGAGGATATATATATATATATATATATATATATATATATATATATTAAATATCCTGAATTGAACATCACACACACACACACACACACACACACACACACACACACACACATATATATACATGTTTCAAAACATCGCATATATCCCCAAAATATATATCAACTTTATACTTTTAAGTACCAATTTGGAATAAATTTAAATTAAAAATAATCATATGGGAAAGAAAGCATACATCTTATGGTACAAAACAAATTACAGTAAGAATGAAGAAAGAAGGTTAGAAGAAGGTTAGAAATGGTGTTAGAATACAATTTACTGGTTGGAAAAACCAGTACATAAATGTTTGGTGAACAAGATACTTACCTTTACTCAAAGTATCTCTCTAAGTAACTATTTATTAGAAAAGAAAAATAATTGCTTTGCCACAGAGAAACGTGTTGGAGACCACTTTACTCAAATGATCAAAACCAATATCACTAGTACTAGTCAGTCTAAATTGTGTGCTACACAATATAGTTCACTGAAAGGATAAAATAGTATATTAATGGATTTTTTGA